GCTGAACGGCTTCTATCTCAAGGTCTGCACTTTCTGCACTCATAACTTGAATGTCCCCTTCCATGCCTGCAACAGTCCGTCTATATGACGTCGGAACTGCATTATTTTTCGCTGGGTGTCTAAATAGGTTTTCTTCCATAAATTGTTCGCGCTTTAAAGATAATTGACGTAAATGAGCCACTGATACTACCGAAACGTATAAAAGTGCCTCCCGCATATCTGGCATCATATTTCGCCGTAAAAGTTGAACCAGACGATAATCTTCTAATGGCATTGACAGACGAGATGCAAGCCTCATAATATCGTCATAAAAAACATCAAAGGACTCTCCTTTTTTCTGCTTTCTGGCTCTAATTTCTTCATAGATCAAATCATCATCCTTGTTATCCGCATACTGACTTTTAAAAGCTTCGCAAAATTCATCCCAAGTGACTACATTATGCTCTTTCCGATATCGCCAGTACCAATCTCTTGCCCTTCCTACAAGAAGAATGTGCAAATTTTTACACAGAAGTGAAAAGTCACTTTGCAAACTGTCTGCTGTAAGCGCTTTTATCCTATATAGAAATTCTTCTACTGTAGGACCTTTTTGTGTGCCATCATATTTTATTCCCCAACTTTGTATTAACTTAGTGGCTTTCTCCGGGCTTATCGACGCATTATATGCATTTGACTCCGTTCCTAAAGATAAACTTGGTCTTGGAGGAGATACCTCAGTATTTGGAGCTTCGTGAGCCCTGGATCGTTGGTTCTGCCTAGGAATCTCTTGTCTATACAATTGTAAGTCTTCCATTTCGAAGATGAAATGATAATCTATCTGAGGTTGTTTATTTCCGTTAACTGAAGGCATTCGTTGCGGTCTTTCTCCTCGGTATCGAGAAGCCGCTGATCTGGGAGGACGACCCTTACGAGTGACTGCTGTTGCTTCGTTCTCCTCGCCTTGATTTCCACCTAAGTCGATGGTGGCGTTCAAGCTTGCTGCTTGTCCGGTTTCCACGCTATAATGTTCTTGAAGTCCCTGCGATACTTCTTTTGTCTTACTACGCGTATTATGTGTCTTTGGTATAGCTCCCCTACCTTCCACAGTACCCACACCTCCTTTCTCCTGAGAGGACAAGTCCTCTGCTGAAAGCAGTGATTTACAACTCGGACATTCTCGTGTAGTAGCTGAATAGGTGGTTATGCAGACTCTATGAAAAGGGTGGTCACACTTGGTGTCAACTATATCTTGTGTTGCATCCAATGGCTGGGCGCAAATATTACAAATGATATTTGGCCTAGGACTTGGATTTCTGAGATTTTCCCTACTATGTGACAGTCTCATTATGATATATTTGGTTGGAAGATTAAAATTAATGTTTTTCTTCGCCTCTTTTTTTTATTTTTTTTTATTTTTTATTTTTTTAATCGAAATTCTTTTAACGTTGTTTATAAAATGTTGCTTTCCTTATATCGTAAGTAGAGGTGAAATGGTGAAGGGTGTAATAATGGTGCTTTTAAGTTTTTCAAAACCCGAAATTGTGATGTGTACAACTGCTGCAATCTTCGAGTGTTTTCCTGCTCTACGCCTATTTTCGCCCAGGCGGACGGTCTGTCGGTCAAGCCAACAAGTCGTATTTCCTGTCTAGACAAAATCTGCACACACAAGATAGTAATAAAACTCGAAATGTATATTTGCAGCGAACAATTATCAATCGACACACTGCTAGCTACCAGAAATCCTTGCTGTTTCATTCTATGGTACAAATCTCGGTTATCCCAAACGATTTATAATTCCAGTAGTAGAAAGCTATTAAACTAATAGTAGCAATATGACAAATGACAATCACCCAGTAGAATACTTGACATAATTTAATACCTGCATGAATCCGTTACCATAATACACCGGCATGCTTAACGGATGATACTTTGGGTCTTGCCCAAATTCATAATTCCAGCTAAGTTGCCGACATCTTATGGTCAATACCAAAAGATATCTATATCTATATTAAATTTTAAAAAAATTATTTCCTTGCCCCTGCTACCAACAACTATTGCGGTCATGAACTCGGACTTGCCAAGCTTTGTAATTCCATTCAATAATGCTGATACTATGAACAGATCTTTAAGAATATTTTGGGATTTGTTTTCTAAGAAAGTTAATAGTCAGTGTTTTCAATTAAATCAGAAGCGGTCAATCTGGGTCACAAGCCCCAAGAAGCTTTCCAGCGTCCCAATAAAAATGGACCAATACTATAACCTCCAAAGATGAAGATACTATCATTTACATCCAAAGGATAGGTTCTCTTGAATTATGAAACCGATCAAAACGAACTACGAAACGCTCGATTCAATCAGCCCCACGTTGGGCGCCAAAAATTTATAACTATATGCATTTATGTTCAAATGGTGGATGACGACTCTATAATATCCGAGGATAAAATGAACTAGGAATGAAACAAGATTACCGTTTCTCTCCGCGACTGCATCTGTATACAATATACACACATAGTTCCCGTTGGGCAGTCACTTAGATGTAATGTCTGACTACGGCATTCTGAAAGAAATGCATGACCGGCAAAACAAAATTCATCCCTGAGCTAAGGTGAATCTAGAAACAAATAAATCGATTGGGACTCGAAATTGCGACTAGCAAACAGCCTGTGGGGGGGTTCGTTGATTCATTTGATTCTGCCATTAACTCGTCGTATGCACATAGAATAAATAAATGAGTCCGCTATGCCTTAAATGTTGCAAAAAAATTAACTGGGCAGATTATGACCCGAAAGAAAGAGAACAAGATAGAACGCTACAGTCGAGCAAGCCCGACAGTAAAATAGCCTGTACTCTCCACAAAAAAGAAAAATTAAAAAAAAAAAATTAAAAAAAAAAATTAAATTATTAAAAAAATTAATGAATTAATTAATTAAATTAAATTAGAATATATGTTTATGTTTAGTTTTAACAGCATACATTTACATCACGTACCTATGCGTGTTTATATGCGTGTATGTATGCAGCACAAAGTTGAACCAAAGCAGCAACAAGAACAACAGCTGCGGGCAGCGCTGCCGACAGAGGCAGCGCATGAGCAGCGATTTTACTTATGGCTATAACTTTCTTCAGAATTGACCTATCATGATGAAATTTGGCACACGGACACATTAGTACTAACTGGATGTACCTACCAAAATTGATTTCAAAATTCCGAGAATTACGGAAGTTATAAGAAAAAACACGAATTGCGGGGGAGTGGGGGGGTGCATCGAAAAAAAAACTCAAACTCGTACTTTCTCGGTCTTAGGAGAATATGGAAACCAAGTTTGGTTATTCTAGCTCTTATACTTTCTGAGATCCTTGCGTTCATACGGACAGACGGACAGACGGACAGACAGACGGACAGACGGACAGACGGACGGACGGACAAGGCTATATCGACTCGGCTTCTCATCCTGATCAAGAATATATATACTTTGTGGGGTCTGCCACGCCTCCTTCTGTGTGTTACATACATGCGCACAAAACTAGTATAGCCTTTCACCCTTTGGGTACAGGCTATAAAAAGGAGTTAAGAAAGGAGGAAAAGCCCTATATTACACCTCTGAGCTACTAGATATTATCGTAGCTAGGCTTCTTTACCCACCCTACCATGATTTTCCTTTAGCCAAATATGTGGAAAATCCCTAAAGTTTCTACGACACCATATTCCCCGTCTACATTACTTTCAAGGAAATTTACTCAAAATTTACTCATTCATGATAATACTTTATACATTTATTTAGATAAAGATGGAAAAATTAATTGTAATAACGCTCATTTCAAATTTTAAGATGCGAATTTCATGTGCCTTTAATGGCGAAAATTGTTTGAAAAGTATACAAAGTTATCAATAATAAGAAGGGTTTAAACTATAATACAAAATGGTTACAAAAAAACTAACTTCAAATGATTATCTTCCAAATTAAGTATAATAATAATAATATAAGTACTATGCGTTTCATTTCATGTTTAACTAGGTGTGCACCACGTTGAGTGGTTGGTTACAACGACAACGTTATGTATAGATTTCTGCGTATTCGGCTAGCTCACATATTCGATGCCTCAGCGGATAAGTATAATCAAAACAAAGTACAGGAAAAAATATGCTTTACCCGTTTCTATTTTCGTTCAGGCGCATATGCATAAAAATCAAACAGCTGATAACTGCAACCCAAGTATTGCATTATGCATTAGTTTGGTATACCAACTCAGATGGAGTTTGCATTTGGCATTTCAATATGTAATATACATAAGTTTGGCTCGGGTTATTATAATCACAACACAAAGTTAAATATTTTAATTATTTGGAACGAACTCACCCATCGTAATCTCCTCCGAAGCCCTTCGTAGTCGACGCTGATGTAGTTGCTGGAGAATAAATTTAAATTTGTGTCGTGTTGGTTTGGGTTGCCAATTTTTATCAAACAATACATATCCATCCTACATCGAAGACATGCTGCACTTTCTTTACATACACTTGTTGTTGTGGAAATTATATTAAATAACTGCTTCTGTAGTTAGACAGAAAAGTTTAAATTAATAACCTAACTCAAAATTAAAATTAAACAAATTTCAGATGGCGATAGCCTAACATGGCTATTCGCGTCCTCTCCTTGGTCATGTAGCAGAACCTTCTTTCTCCTTCCTAGTAAAATGCTGGGTTTAATTTCGCGCTCGACACGAGTGGTGTTGTAGTGAAGTAGCTTTCTATGGACGAAACACCATACTCATGCACTTATCATGGATATTGCATGGTTTCAAAGGTATTGCCACGAGCTATGGAGTCCTTGATTAGCAACAGTCGCTTGAAACTTGCTCTGGGAGGCGCCGAATTTCGTGGCCACTCCCAATTCTCACAAAGGTATAACATGTGTCCTCACGTAGCAATTGCGACAGAGCCTTTAGCCACTTTTAGATCAGATTCGAGTGCATTCGATGCGGTGCGCGGTTCCTGAATCGGGCACCAAGCTCACAATGTTTGTCTTTATGGGGCCTCACGCTATTGCGCCGCCACTAAATTAATAAAGCTGGCCTTTGTAGTGGCGCTTGTAGCTATATTTCTCATTAAGGCATAGTTTGAGAAGCGCTGGGCTTAATACCGCCACCTAGCTGACGATAGCGTAATTTGCTGTGGGTTGCAAGGGAAGTTGGATGTGTTGCAAAGGGAGAAAGCCTCTCTCTGGAATTTCTAAATTCCCCAGACGCTGTCCCATCATAGTTAGGCCGCCATCACAATTTCAGTGGAGTTGAAGCCGTGAAACGTGAAAGTGCAGTTTCTATTTGTGAACTTAAAATTGTTTCAAATTTATCCAAATTTCAAAATTTACTTCGTTAACCTACGTGGGGTAAATATTGTTAAGTGGCAACGTAGCGATTATATATTGGAACGAGGAAAATTTAATATTTTTCTTTACCTGCGCCAAGGACAAGGGGTAAGATTTTAATGCAGCGGTTACGGTGTAGTCAGTCCATATAAGAGAAAAATTGGTTACAGGACTTGGCGCGTATTACCAAATAAATTTTAGTGGTTGACGGCAGCAGTTAATATTCAATTCCCTGAATTTGAATTTAAATTTGCCGCGCATGAGCAGCGGACTTTGAACCTCATTTGAGTAAGAGGGAAGGAGGAACAAAAGAACGCAACCACTTAGCGGCACCGGCGTACGGGAAGAATAGCGACATTGCGAATTAGTGCAAGTGCAGCGTTACCGCCGGCAAACCGCCGCATATTTGTCGGTCCGCGACTAAGCGGAAATAAATAGTGTTTAAGTTATAGTGTTAGTTTTTTTTTGTTCTAAGAAAGAATAATGCACTACAAGTACGTGTATTTATATATATAAGTAATCTAATGATTTTGTATTATTAATGTTTTTTCCCGTCACATAATTCTGCTATGCGAAGGCAGAGGTAAATTGTGCTTAGTTTTTTTTGTGTTAAATTATTTTCGTTGTTGTGAGTGAATTTTCAGATGCCACATATTCAGCCCACCGCCCAAATGGAAGCGCTTTCATCACTGGCTAGGAGTGGGGTAAGTTTGTAACTTGTCTTTTTTTTTTGTATCCAAACGCATTTAATAATGTTCAAGCTTCTGCGCTAAGCAATGTCAAGCCAGAAATAAATATTTAAAACGGCATTAATTTACTCCCTGCTTGTGTGCCTTCGCATCAGAAGAGCTAAATAGAGAGCGAATAGTTGTTGAAAGAGTACTGCTCTCACGCAGATAATGTCCAGTTATTCTGATCGAATGCGTTAATTCTTACAATTATAAAACTTCTCTTAAGTTTTTTTCATTTTTTCTTTCATACTTCTTTTTGCATAAGCAATAATCAAATACAGCTAGAGCATAAGACACAGCTGTTCTAAACTCTATTTATTTGTACGTATGCCATATGATTTGTTTGTCTGATTATTAGCTGTTAAGTAACTATGGAATAAATATAAGTAAACATTGAACTCATGCTGGCCAACGCTTCTGTGTAGGGTTTAAAGAAGGGGTCATCCGTATATTAATAACTTGTTTTCAGTTTGGCAATGATGACCAAGGTTGGGTGGGCGAATTTAATCCACAAGCACAGCAGTGGTTATAGCACATCGCACATAAACGCCGTCTTCCACCTATTCTATCCTATATCTACTTTATTTCTCGGTCTGTCCCTAATTTTCTATTAGCTAGCAACTAGCACGCTCCCTTTATTTTTTTAATATTGTAATGTAATAGTTAGAGTAGCACCCGACATATTTATTTCTGAGCTGGATGGATTCCCACCCCAAAGCCGACGAGCTAGAGCCGGAAAACTGAGCGTGCGCCAGTTTCAGATAGTTAAACAGTCCTTGATAGCCGCTGAGCAAGCAGTTAAACGTTACACGCTACAATTATAATTATATTATAAATATTAAATGGCGCCCAACAGGTGTGGCCTCATTGTTTTAAATCATTTTGTTTATAACAATGTGTTCACTTTTCAAATTTAATTCTTTACTCATTTTTCTTTCAATCGTACTTTCTTATAAAATCATTTGTCTTATTTATTAACTGTTTGGATGACAGGGTAGTAGAATATATAGTATTCTTTATTTGGCCACATTTAAAAAAGTAAAACAAATGATTACCTTTTATTGTGTACGCGGTATATGGGTAATTAAGCGCTTGGAATATAGGTAGAAGTAAACACTCAGTTTGTCACCTATCCACGATTATTCCCAATTACTAAGGAAGCAATACATTTCTTCTCTAAATATGTTATAGACGCATAGGACTTTTGGTTAAATGACTTTCGAGACATAACCTTACCACGGATATAAAATACAAAGGGCAGGAATTTCTGTTTTTTTTCTTCGCCTCAAAGTCTATTGAGTCAGTGATTGAGCGCTTTGGACATCATAAAGAACATTTTGAAAATTCTTTTGACCACGACAAATGACTGATTTTATAGACTCTCTTGAATTAAAATCTATAAAGCGAAATGATTGCATTGGACAAAGCTAAGATAAATTGTTTTAGAAAATGTTCGCGTGCCACAATCATTAGTTTTAATACTGACCTTTTCTGTATTCTGTATTTTTCAAATCGAGGTTTCATGTGCAGTGTTTAAGACTTTACATAGATGCCAGGTTAGCATGAGTTCAAATTATTTAATGAATATTGTATCGCATAATTTTATTATCTTTGTGTTTAACAGCAATTTTATTTATTTTTCCTTTTTATTTGTGTTTGGTTTTGATTATATACATAACATTCACTTTGCGTGACAAACTTTGAGCTGTTGAGCTTTATCAGCATAAATTAGTCTAACCAGTGCCGTTAACAATAGTATCACACAGCTGATCGTGCGCACTCTTTTGTTCTCTCTTTGTACACTTATTGTTACAAATAGCAAGGTCGTTTGCTTAAATTTTGGCGAGTTAAATTGTTAACAGCTGTTGGCATTCTAGTAGGTGTCATTTAGGATGGCAGTAAATCGTTCGTTTGATAATTCTGATGCGGTTTCAGAGCGCAATAAAACTGTGTGCGGACTCTGTGATGGGGAAGTGCAAAATCCAGCAGAATTTTATAAGACAAAATGCAACCATCATTTTCATAAGGCCTGCATTTCCAATCATTTTAAAACTGCTAATACGTGTCCTAATTGTAATTTTGTCTGCTTGACCACAACCGCATCCCAAGTTCAAAGCGGTGCCTATAACACACGTTCACAAAGTCGTTCGCAAGCTCAATCAAGGGCTGGCAGTGAGCCAAATTCAGGCCGTGTTGGGGAAGAGATAGCCTCAACATCAAATTCTGCGATCATGGCAAATCAGGAGGCCCTTAGGCAAATGCAAAATGAGTTGTTAACAGCTTTAACGGAGCAAATGTCTCGTTTAATCGAGGCAAACGTATCCGCTTGTGTACAGCGTCTTGGCTTAGAGACACAAAACGTCCAAAATCGTTCTGAACGCCCCACTGTGGATCAGTTGTTGTCAGTCAATGAGCAGCCGCAGCTGCAAAGGGCACATTCAAGAATAGACACATCTCGTACAGGAAGCGCAACTTCTGATTTGATGCACAGACCTGACAAAGTGGGTCATATTATGAGTGCGTGGAAAATAAAATTCACAGGATCAGGATTGTCTGTAGACAACTTTATTTACCGAGTAGAAGCACTGACGCACGAGACTTTAGAAAGCAATTTTATGGTCATGTGTAGAAATGCTAGTGCTTTGTTTGAAGGTAAAGCAAACGAATTTTACTGGCGACACCACAAAAGTGTAGGAGAAATCCGCTGGGATGTTCTGTGTACGGCCTTAAGAAAACAATTTCGAGACGGCAGAGATGACGGGGACATTGAAGATTTGATTAGACAAAGAAAACAAGAGTCAAATGAAAGTTTCGATCAATATTATGACGCTATTATTGCTTTAACGGACAAAATGGAATATCCATTAGGTAACAGCAAGTTGGTAAGAATATTAAGGAACAACTTGCGGCCTGAAATTCGACACGAGCTTTTAAATGTTGAAATAAGTTCTGTTTCTGAGCTACGAGAAGCGTGCAGGAGGCGAGAAACATTTTTAAAGGACATTAGGCAAACACAAAACTATATTAAAAAGAATCCATTTAAAAGAGATCTGGCCGAGTTACAGCAGGATCTAATTATGTCCGAAGGTGAAGACTCTGGTGATGAAATAGACGGCAATGTAGAGGCAATCGCACTAATCTGCTGGAACTGCAAGAGAGAAGGGCACAGGTACCAAGACTGTCTAGCAGAAAGGCGTGTGTTTTGTTATGGGTGCGGTGCTGCAAACACTTACAAACCGAGCTGCCCTAAATGCGCAAAAAACTCAATAGTGAGCGCACAGAGGCTTCAGAAAAAGGGGAGAGTCTCTCGTGTGCTCAGAACTCAATCAACAAACACAGAGTAAATAGCCCTAGCGTTAATGTAGATTTAGTTAGGGACGAAGTTAATTCATCGCTGAACCCAGAATTTTTAATTGATACAGCATCCAATCTTTTACACAAAAAGTTACTACATTTACAAAACCTGCAAAATAATAAAATACAATTTGTTCAAACTTTTATGAAATTTAAGTCACGCAGTAGCAAACGCATCAAGACATTTTGGGAAAAAAGGAAAGGTCTTGGACGTGATTTAAAGCATATTTGTACAATTGTCAGCAAAGGCAGCGACCCCAGACCATTCATTACAGTGGAATTGTTTAACACTACAGTCCGTGGCCTGTTAGACTCAGGTGCAGCAATTAGTTGTATTGGCGGCAATTTTGCCGAAAATGTTCTTAATAGTGAGGCAACAGTAAAACCAGTGCACTCAGTTGCTAGTACGGCGGATGGAGGCAAACAAATAATTAAAGGGAAAATTAATACTGATGTAGTTTTCAATGGCGAGCGGAAGTCAATAACTATTTATATAATTCCGTCCTTGCGACTAGATGTATATCTCGGCATTGATTTTTGGAAATTATTTGGTCTGTTACCAGCTCAACTGAATATTTCAGAGTTGAATCTTAGCACTGTAGAACACGAGTTAAACGAAATAGAACGCTTAAAACTAGCCAATGTAGTTAATTTATTTCCATCTTTTGCTCAGCAGGGACTAGGAAAAACAAGCCTATTGGCCCATGTTATTGATGTGGGAGACGCAAAACCTATTAAACAGCGTCACTTTTCAGTTTCACCAGCGGTCGAGAAACTAATATATGGGGAAGTAGACCGAATGTTGGAATTAGGAGTGATTGAAGAGTCTGAAAGCGCCTGGTCATCGCCAGTCGTTCTGGTGCAGAAGCCAGGAAAAGTGCGACTTTGCTTAGATAGCAGAAAAGTAAATACGGTGACTTTGAAAGACGCATATCCGTTGCCTCAAATAAGTGGGATTATAAGCAGGCTGCCAAAAGCTGAATTTATAACGAGCCTTGACCTTAAGGACGCGTTTTGGCAAATCCCTCTGGATATAGCTTCTAGAGATAAAACGGCGTTTACTGTGCCAGGTAGACCACTTTACCATTTTAAAGTAATGCCTTTTGGCCTATGCAACGCACCCCAAACTATGTCTCGTCTAATGGACAAAGTCATACCGCCTTACCTTCGTAATGAAGTATTCATATATTTAGATGATTTGCTGGTGGTGTCCGACAGTTTTGACAGGCATTTGGAGGTATTAAGGGAACTGTCATTACATATAAAAAGAGCTGGCTTAACAATAAATATTGGCAAGAGCAACTTCTGCATGAAGCGTGTTAATTATTTAGGACATATAGTGGGCGATGGAGGAATTAGAACAGATCCCGCTAAAATATCTGCAATCACCGACTTCCCAGTACCGAAAACGCTGAGAACACTCAGAAGATTTCTAGGTTTGACTGGATGGTATCGGAAGTTTATACCTAACTATGCTTCTATCACTGCACCGCTTACAGATTTGTTGACTCCAAAACGAAAATTCTTCTTTTCTGAAGACGCTAAAAAGGCTTTCGAGCTGCTCAAATGCAAACTGAGTGAAGCCCCAGTACTGAGAAGTGCTGATTTTTCTAAGCCCTTCTTTATTCACTGCGATGCCAGTAAGTCAGGTGTGGGCGGCGTTTTAGTACAAATGTCAGAGGAAGGAGATGAATGTCCGATTGCGTATATGTCCAAAAAGCTTAACAAGGCGCAGAGGAATTATTCGGTAACGGAGCAAGAATGCTTAGCAGCCATGGTGGCAATTAAAAGTTTTCGAGCATATGTTGAGGGCCATGAGTTCACGGTCATAACGGACCACGCTTCATTAAAATGGCTAATGTCTCAAACGGATCTGAGCACTAGGCTGGCAAGGTGGGCTTTGAGATTGCAGGGCTATACATTTAAAATACAGCACCGGAAAGGAAAATTGAATGTTGTACCAGATGTTTTGTCGCGGATGAATGAGGAGGAAGTAGCAGCAATAGATCTGAAAAATGGACTCATTATCGACCTAAAATCTGACTATTTTAAATCGGAAAAATATATTGAACTAGGCGAACGCATAAAAGGGATGCAGGACAAGTTACCGGATTTAAAAGTTGAAGATGGTTTAATTTATCGTCGTGCTGAACATCTAACTGGGGACCAAATGCATGATGAGTATGCCTGGAAGCTCTGGGTGCCGTCGGAACTAATTAAGGAAGTTCTGTTTAATGCTCACAACAGTCCTTTGGCTGCGCATGGTGGCATACATAAAACGTTAGAGCGTGTGAGGCGGTACTACTTTTGGCCAGGCTTGGTAAATGATGTTAGAACATACATAAATGCATGCGAGGTTTGTAAGTCTTCAAAGGCACCCAACCAAATACTAAGGCCACCCATGGGAAATTCGCCAGAATCGCACAGATTTTTCCAAAGGCTTTATATAGACTTCCTGGGGCCATACCCCCGATCCCGTAGTGGTCATATAGGCATATTTATTGTTTTAGACCACTTTTCAAAGTACGTCTTTCTAAAACCAGTCAAACAAATCTCTGCGGATGTGGTAATTAAATACCTTGAAGACGATTTGTTTCTCACGTACGGAGTACCTGAAACGATTGTTTCAGATAATGGGTCTCAGTTTAGAGCAGTTTCTTTTCAAAACTTGTTGCAGCGGTTCCAAATAACGCACATGTTGACAGCAGTACACGCTCCCCAAGCTAATGCAGCCGAGCGAGTGAATCGTTCTGTAATAGCAGCAATTAGATCTTATGTGAGGCCTGATCAGAAGGACTGGGATGAGTATCTAAGCCAAATTTGTTGTGCCTTACGGTCGGCTGTACACTCTGGTATCGGAGTAACACCATATTATATGGTTTTTGGGCAGCACATGGTCAATTGTGGGTCAACGTATTCATTATTACGCAAATTGGGGCTGCTCGAAGACCGCTCACTGATGCTCGATCGCAATGACTCACGTGAACTTGTGTGGGAAAAAGCGAATATAAACAGGCAGAATAAGCATGATAGGAATAAAAGACAATACGATTTGAGGGCCACAGAAGTACTATATCAAGTGGGTCAAGAAGTCTTTCGACGGAACTTTAAGGCCAGTAACTTCGAAACCGGCTTTAATGCTAAATTTGGGCCACGTTTTGTAAAAGCCCGGGTGCGTGAAAAGCTGGGAAATTCAATTTATGAGCTTGAGGATATGCAAGGTCGCAGTATAGGCAAATACCATGCCAAAGATATTCGGCAGTAGCAAATCGTGCAGCTACAAGCGGTATCAGCCTTTGGGTCGAACCGTCCCCTAGTCTGATCTTGGCAGGGGGGATTTGTAGTGGCGCTTGTAGCTATATTTCTCATTAAGGCATAGTTTGAGAAGCGCTGGGCTTAATACCGCCACCTAGCTGACGATAGCGTAATTTGCTGTGGGTTGCAAGGGAAGTTGGATGTGTTGCAAAGGGAGAAAGCCTCTCTCTGGAATTTCTAAATTCCCCAGACGCTGTCCCATCATAGTTAGGCCGCCATCACAATTTCAGTGGAGTTGAAGCCGTGAAACGTGAAAGTGCAGTTTCTATTTGTGAACTTAAAATTGTTTCAAATTTATCCAAATTTCAAAATTTACTTCGTTAACCTACGTGGGGTAAATATTGTTAAGTGCCAACGTAGCGATTATATATTGGAACGAGGAAAATTTAATATTTTTCTTTACCTGCGCCAAGGACAAGGGGTAAGATTTTAATGCAGCGGTTACGGTGTAGTCAGTCCATATAAGAGAAAAATTGGTTACAGGACTTGGCGCGTATTACCAAATAAATTTTAGTGGTTGACGGCAGCAGTTAATATTGCGGAAAAAGCAAATTCTAAAGAAGCGACTCGCAGTGGCTCAATTCCCTGAATTTGAATTTAAATTTGCCGCGCATGAGCAGCGGACTTTGAACCTCATTTGAGTAAGAGGGAAGGAGGAACAAAAGAGCGCAACCACTTAGCGGCACCGGCGTACGGGAAGAATAGCAACATTGCGAATTAGTGCAAGTGCAGCGTTACCGCCGGCAAACCGCCGCATATTTGTCGGTCCGCGACTAAGCGGAAATAAATAGTGTTTAAGTTATAGTGTTAGTTTTTTTTTTGTTCTAAGAAAGAATAATGCACTACAAGTACGTGTATTTATATATATAAGTAATCTAATGATTTTGTATTATTAATGTTTTTTCCCGTCACATAATTCTGCTATGCGAAGGCAGAGGTAAATTGTGCTTAGTTTTTTTTGTGTTAAATTATTTTCGTTGTTGTGAGTGAATTTTCAGATGCCACATATTCAGCCCACCGCCCAAATGGAAGCGCTTTCATCACTGGCTAGGAGTGGGGTAAGTTTGTAACTTGTCTTTTTTTTTTGTATCCAAACGCATTTAATAATGTTCAAGCTTCTGCGCTAAGCAATGTCAAGCCAGAAATAAATATTTAAAACGGCATTAATTTACTCCCTGCTTGTGTGCCTTCGCATCAGAAGAGCTAAATAGAGAGCGAATAGTTGTTGAAAGAGTACTGCTCTCACGCGGATAATGTCCAGTTATTCTGATCGAATGCGTTAATTCTTACAATTATAAAACTTCTCTTAAGTTTTTTTCATTTTTTCTTTCATACTTCTTTTTGCATAAGCAATAATCAAATACAGCTAGAGCATAAGACACAGCTGTTCTAAACTCTATTTATTTGTACGTATGCCATATGATTTGTTTGTCTGATTATTAGCTGTTAAGTAACTATGGAATAAATATAAGTAAACATTGAACTCATGCTGGCCAACGCTTCTGTGTAGGGTTTAAAGAAGGGGTCATCCGTATATTAATAACTTGTTTTCAGTTTGGCAATGATGACCAAGGTTGGGTGGGCGAATTTAATCCACAAGCACAGCAGTGGTTATAGCACATCGCACATAAACGCCGTCTTCCACCTATTCTATCCTATATCTACTTTATTTCTCGGTCTGTCCCTAATTTTCTATTAGCTAGCAACTAGCACGCTCCCTTTATTTTTTTAATATTGTAATGTAATAGTTAGAGTAGCACCCGACATATTTATTTCTGAGCTGGATGGATTCCCACCCCAAAGCCGACGAGCTAGAGCCGGAAAACTGAGCGTGCGCCAGTTTCAGATAGTTAAACAGTCCTTGATAGCCGCTGAGCAAGCAGTTAAACGTTACACGCTACACCTTCAACTTGCTGCGTGTGGACTTATTTTTGTTGTTTTCCCTTTTTTTTCCTCGTTGCCAACAATTCTGCACCAAAATATCTATTTCACTGCCCACTTATGGGTAGCTAAAAGAACATAACTTACTATAAAACAATAATATTTGGTGGATGCCTGATATTTACCGAGATTAATTTCTTTATATCAATGACAGAACGAGATTCACGATTTATTTCTTTCTTGACTGCACTAAGTACGTCCGTCGCTGATGCTGGCTCAAAAGGAAAGAAGAACTACGATTGTACTCTCTATCGCTTATATGCTGTGCACGCTATGATCCTCTCAGAGAGAGAGAGAGAGAGAGAGAGAGAGAGAGAGAGACAGAAAAATAGCGCGACATCGCATCTGCCAATTTGACATTTGCACTCACGATCAGATTTTATCCACTGTGGATTGAATTTGGCATTTTGATTTTTCGCAAAGTTGCTTAGGCTGAAATTTCTCCGGTACACCTCTTGTCCCACTTTAAAAGACCTAATACGTGTTCTTAGATTGTACTGTTTTGCACTCCGTTTGGCTGCTTGGGCAATATTTTCCCTCAATTCCTTTCTTAACAATTGTAATTGGTCGTCCCGCTGTAATACATTATTAGATTCTTCCAACATTTTAACATTTTCTAACAGCTTATAATGAGTTCCATGGGTAGCCATGTCAAAACCAAATAAGGCGTGAAAAGGAGAACAGCCTATGCAGGTGGTAAGAATTACGCAAAGCATAGCTAATGCCGTGTATGTGCAGATCCCATTCGCGGTGGTCGTCTTTCAAATAAGCTCGAATAGCTGCAATGATTGATCAGTTTACTCTTTCTGAGGCATTCGCCTGGGGAGAGTATAAGGCTGTCTACATGTGTTTTACTCCTAGTGATGTTAGACAGGCATTAAATTCACGAGCCTTAAATTGCGATCCGTTATCACTTATCAAAATTTCTGGCACCCCATATCGAAAGAAAATGTGATCCTGCAGAAATTCCTTAATGACATTCGCGGTAAATTTTTTCAATGGGCACAACCAATTATATTTTGATAGATGGTCGACCACTATTAATAAGCCAAGATTGCCGCACTTGCTGCGTGGATAAGGCCCTAAAATGTCAACATACAGACGTTGAAATGGCCTAAAAGATACTGCTGGCTTTCCCATTGGAGGCCGTAAGATCTGATTTGGTGGTTTTGTAGTTTTACATATTTCGCAACTACGGACATAATCCCTAACTTGTGAAACCATCCCAGGCCAGTAAAAGTTCCTGCGTATAAGTTCCAAAGTTTTAGCTATGCCTCCATGAGCTGTGACAATATCATCATGCACCGTTTAATAACTTCATTGGTTAAGCTGGTGGGAATCCACAGCTTCCAGTTGGTTTGTCTGCTTAGTTCGGATCCATCATCATGTTCTGTTCCAACATAAACAACCTATCAAGGTTCCTTAAATCAGGATAGCTTGCTTCGTTCTCGCGAATTTTCGTTTTTAAGTTCTCATACTCGCTTTCGTCAAAATCAGGTGAATTTAAATCTATTTCCGGTTGAATAACTTCTAATCCTGCAACTTCTTCCGAAACTGAACGAGATAACGCGTCGGGAACTATATTTTCTCTACCTCGACGATGACTTATAGTAAACGCATAGCCTTGTAGTTTCATCGCCCATCTTGCCAGTCTGCCTTTTAAATTTTGTTGCTTCATAAGCCAAACTAAACTGGCATGATCTGTTATGACTTCAAATTCTTGCAATTCAATATAACACCGAAATCTTTCTATCGCTTCGAGTGCCGGTAGGCATTCGCGCTCAGTAACACTATAGTTACGCTGGGCGGTATTCAGTTTCTTTGACATAAAAGCAATCGGCTGCTCTGCCCCATCTTCTGACAATTGCACTAACACTGCCCCAATACCATAGTCACTAGCATCACAATGCACGTAGAATTTCTTTTTAAAATCAGGGTTCTGAAGCGCTGGTGCTGAGGTAAGCAAGTTTTTTAATTTCTCAAAGGCAATTTGAGCCGCGTCAGACCAAGCAAATTTCTTTTTGGTAGACAGGAGTTCGGTTATAGGAAACACAACGTCAGAAAAGTTATTTATAAACCTTCGATACAACTTGCAACTCCCATGAATCCTCGAGCCTGTTTTAATGTCTTGGGAACTGGCCATAACCGAACTGCATCGACCTTACTCGGGTCAGTTGAGATACCTCCACGACCTATTAAATAACCTAAGTATGGTACTTCGATTACACAAAACTGTGTCTTCGTTATGTTTAATGTTAAATTAGCTTTACGAAAATGTTCAGACAATTTTATAAGAATCGACAAATGGGTTTCAAAATCTTCAGAAACTACACAGAGGCCATCCAAATAACCAAATACACAATGCTTCAACTCTGATGGGATAAGTTCATCCATTAGTCGGCACATGGTTTGCGGAACATTACAAAGACCAAAAGGCATGACCGTAAACTGATATAGCGGTCGGCCTGGTACCGTAAATGCGGTTATAGCTTTTGACTCTTCTGTTAGGCCAATCTGCCAATATGCATCCTTTAAATCAATTTTTGTAATAATATTTGCTTTTGCAGTCTTGCAAAAATGCTATCAATGCTAATCAGGGGATATGCGTCTTTTTTAGTGAGCTGATTTATTTTTCGTGCATCTAAACACAACCGCACTTTTCCTGGTTTTACAACAAGACGCATGGGTGAGCTCCATGGGCTATAAGATTTCTCAATAACTCCTAGCTCCAGCATTCTATCAATTTCTTTATACATCAACTTTTCTACAGCTGGGGATACAGGGTAGAATCTTTGTTTAACTGGAGTGGCGTTTCCTACTTCAATATGGTGTTTAATTAACGATGTTTTACCTAATCCCTGTCGTTCAAAATTTGGAAACAAGCGAATAACAGCCTCAAGTCGGGTCTGCTGCTCATTCGTTAGGGGAAATTTATTTTCATTTACGGTGTTCTCTTTATTTGGTATTGGCAACTCGATCTCTGATATAAGACCAGGGGCCAATTCAAACGTTTTCCAAAAATCAATTCCCAATATTACCCGCTTATCTATTGATGGTATAATATAGAACGTAATAATTTTATTGGTATCCCGATAATTCACTTCGGTCTTGATTAAACCTATAACAGGATGTTTCTTTCCATCAGCTGTCTTGACACCTGAAACCATCTTACTGTATTGAGGGCTGCCAGACCAATCGATCCTTGCTAAATCTGCTCCTATACAACTTATGTTCGCCCCAGTGTCCAGTAGTCCATGCTCCGAGAAATTCAAAAATGATACCGGAACATACAAACGACCTCAGAAGCTTCATTAATAACTGATGAAATTAGTAACTTTCTTGCTGTCTTTACTTTTGTCCAGAAGTTACGCATTCGAATGGTTGAACGTTTAGGTAAATGTTTAATGATATGCTTATAATTTTCAAATCTTTCATGATATGGTCGTAAAGGCCATAATTTAGGATTATCAATAGTGTATGTATGTTTAGTCTGGGGTTTTAATACTACCTTCTCTATCGGAAGTAAAGGCTGTGTAGGTATTTCTGCCGACACCAAGTTTTCTTTAGAAGCAATAAGTGTTTTGGGGCCACTTGATTGCTTCCAATCAAGGGTCCCTAATGGAAGTTTCCCGCCCGTCGCTGGCATACTTCGCACTGTGGCTTATAGACGTTCTTCTCACCGCATCCATAACAAAAAATTTTCCTTTCCTGTAAACACATGTCCCAAGGATGCCCTTCGATATCACAGTTCCAGCACACTAATTTCTTAGGGACGCGCTGAACGGCTTCTATCTCAAGGTCTGCACTTTCTGCACTCATAACTTGAAAGTCCCCTTCCATGCCTGCAACAGTCCGTCTATATAACGTCGGAACTGCATTATTTTTCGCTGGGTGTCTAAATAGGTTTTCTTCCATAAATTGTTCGCGCTTTAAAGATAATTGACGTAAATGAGCCACTGATACTACCGAAACGTATAAAAGTGCCTCCCGCATATCTGGCATCATATTTCGCCGTAAAAGTTGAACCAGACGATAATCTTCTAATGGCATTGACAGACGAGATGCAAGCCTCATAATATCGTCATAAAAAACATCAAAGGACTCTCCTTTTTTCTGCTTTCTGGCTCTAATTTTTTCATAGATCAAATCATCATCCTTGTTATCCGCATATTGACTTTTAAAAGCTTCGCAAAATTCATCCCAAGTGACTACATTATGCTCTTTCCGATATCGCCAGTACCAATCTCTTGCCCTTCCTACAACAACGACGCATTATATGCATTTGACTCCGTTCCTAAAGATAAACTTGGTCTTGGAGGAGATACCTCAGTATTTGGAGCTTCGTGAGCCCTGGATCGTTGGTTCTGCCTAGGAATCTCTTGTCTATACAATTGTAAGTCTTCCATTTTACGTTCAAATAGATTTTCTATCTGCTCGAAGATGAAATGATAATCTATCTGAGGTTGTTTATTTCCGTTAACTGAAGGCATTCGTTGCGGTCTTTCTCCTCGGTATCGAGAAGCCGCTGATCTGGGAGGACGACCCTTACGAGTGACTGCTGTAGCTTCGTTCTCCTCGCCTTGATTTCCACCTAAGTCGATGGTGGCGTTCAAGCTTGCTGCTTGTCCGGTTTCCACGCTATAATGTTCTTGAAGTCCCTGCGATACTTCTTTTGTCTTACTACGCGTATTATGTGTCTTTGGTATAGCTCCCCTACCTTCCACAGTACCCACACCTCCTTTCTCCTGAGAGGACAAGTCCTCTGCTGAAAGCAGTGATTTACAACTCGGACATTCTCGTGTAGTAGCTGCATAGGTGGTTATGCAGACTCTATGAAAAGGGTGGTCACACTTGGTGACAACTATATCTTGTGTTGCATCCAATGGCTGAGCGCAAATATTACAAATGATATTTGGCCTAGGACTTGGATTTCTGAGATTTTCCCTACTATGTGACAGTCTCATTATGATATATTTGATTGGAAGATTAAAATTACAAATTAATGTTTTTCTTTGCCGCTTTTATTATTTTTTATTTTAATCAAAATTTTTTTAACGTTGTTTATAAAATGTTTCTTTCCTTATATCGTAAGTAGAGGTGAAATGGTGAAGGGTGTAATAATGGTGCTTTTAAGTTTTTCAAAACCCGAAATTACGATGTGTACAACTGCTGCAATCTTCGAGTGTTTTCCTGCTCTACGCCTATTTTCGCCCA